AACCAAAATTCTTTTAAAAAAATGTAACCCAGTCTGCTTGCAATGCCTAAAGCCCTTTAATAAAATATATTGGGGGGGGGGGGGGGGTATATCCAAAATTGATTCCCACCTTTTTAATATCTAGCGAAGCCTACGTATTGCTGGCTGGCCTGATCTAAATTTTATTTTTATCATCCGTTGGTGACCAAGCATGTTTAACCAATGCAAGACCTGATTAAAATAATCTTAAATAGCCCAAACTTTTTCTAACTGTATGTTGAAAACCCTCTCAAAGATATGTGCTTTTACAAGAGCGCCTTTACTTTAAATATGAATCTTGTTCATTGTAGCATTTCATAACTTTTGATTTTATAACAAACGTTATTTATTGTCCTATTCTATATGCAGAATGTGATAAATGCAGCCCAATGATAGAGTTAATTTCATGAAACTTCGTTAGGCTTTAATTTACATAAAAATATCTGCACACTTGGGAATATTATCCATTAATGTGAGTCCAATATTGGTATTTTTTTAGTAGAATATTTCCAATATGTTTTGAAGTTTCATATTCAGATCTGATTTTTTATAATATATAATTTTTAAAATTTAAATAATTGACCATTAATAAACCTTTAAGGATTGATAGTTTGCGGGATTTAAGGATTTCACCCTTTTAAGCGGCATATTTGGTAGCTTTTTTCCATGGGCAGAATTTCATTTGGCGATACAGGTCTAACATTAACTCGCAGTTTTTAATTAAATTTGGCATTTAATTTTAAATAATCCAAAATATTTAATCTTTATTGCTGGCTAGGCCACTCGGTGGGAAAACTATTATAATATACAAAATGATATTATATTTTTTTTAATGAATGGCTCAGGTGGTTATAACTTATATCAATAAACCTCAAGATCGGGATTCGAGCTGTTCAAGATCAATTTCATTTTTTTTTTGATGAAATGAATTTGATATTAATTATTTTGTAAAGTTCCGCCAGTGAAACAAAACTCCTTAACTTAGGGTTGCAAAATTTAATAATTGGCTCTTGAATAATACTATTAAAGCAAAGGTATCTTTTATATTTAGAAAACATACAAAAACAGTGTCCTTTATATATTAAGTTGTTAACCGACTAGTGTTTGAAAAAAGTCGTTCTGAAAGAGACATTATATGTGACTTAAAAGTTAATCACGCCTTACTTTAATCAAACTAAAATATATTTTCAGTAGTGTTCTGACGAATTGGCTTGTAATAATAGTACCATTTTCCCTTGCCATATCGGTTAAAATTAATTAGGGAATTCATATTTGCTAAACCTTTTACTTTTCGAATTTATTTGCTTGTAAAAAAATTTTTAAAACACTTTTCCTAATGATTGATTTCTTTTTAGTAGTTTTTAATCATATTTTAAAATCTCATGTTAATGTTTTATTTTATTGTTTAACTTTATGTCGAACCCTACTTGCAGTTCATTAATTTCATTCTCTTTAATATATAGGGGATACTGGGGATAGTCATTCCGAGGCAGGTAATTTCTTCTCAAATCATTTTAAAACTAATAAAAAATTTTGAAATTTAAGCTATAAATGTATTTTAATAAGATGCTTCAATGGTTTTAAAAATGTTTCGCAGAAATAGGCTCATGAAAAGTTTTAAGTGCAAATTTTAATTTTAATACGTCCAAAAGTAACTTCTTAACTTTTTGTTTCTATTAATAAATTTTTATAGAAGTTAATCAGACCAAATAACAATTTTAAAGATATAAATTAATCTCAATTTTATCATGTATAAAAGACAATATTTATTAATATCTTGAAATTAAATTTAATTAAATGTGAAGACCTAGAATAGCTTTTGGCGGGGTGTGTATTTGTCATTCTTAAGTAGGGATTTATTTTTAATTAAAAGTCTTTATTTTTTGTAATTTATGACAGCTTTAAGTGACAACTTCTTCATGGCGATATATAATATGGTTGAACCTGGTCTGGTACATGTATCATATTTAATAAGGCATTTTCATTTATCTACTTAAGATAAACATTTTTATATAAAAAAAATCTAAAAATAAAGAAGCGCTATAATACGCACCTAGGCTCCCTTAAAAATCTTGGTCTCGTTAACTTCCATTAAGATAAAAATATACTATCAGCAATAATTCACCTGCTATTTAAATTGGATTGGCCCTGGATAAAATTAGAGGTAAACAAAGGAAGAATGATAGAACTTATTTATCTAACACACATGCCAGAATCTGATAAAGATAATTTTTTTTGCCCGCACATGTTCGGGCTTCTCCATTGATTATAATTACGCGGATAATTTCAACCTTTGTCAAATTCTATATTGATCTATTTATCTTTGTGCTGCAAACATACGTTAGTTTTATTAGCATCATTGATTAATACTGGATACATATTTGTTGCCTATGTTATGTGGAGTATTTTAAATACTTTGTTCAATCATATTGCAACAAGAATTTCAGTGCAAGGTAATTATATTCATTGGGAGTAGTGTTGTAAATAGCAAACTCGAGCCATAAGACTTAGTCGATAAATAGCATAAGTGTAAAAGTTACTAGGAACTAAAGTCAGCTTTAATCGAGCTAGGTTTCAGAGAAAATAATGAATATTATCGAGACCTATTATTTAATAATCACGAAAAGAACATATATTTTTTAAATATGTACCCAAGGTAAATCAACAAGGATATGCATTTTGCAACTCTATTTGGAGAATTTATTTTGATATTGGCAATGCCGATCTTCAGGATTTTAAAATAATCCGCTTTCGAAGGAATACTATTATGCCTTTTGATGAGTTAGTTATTATGTTTTCTAGTGATATAATATTTTTTAGGCCTGTCCAAAATTTTATGAATTTCATTATGAGCTTTAAAGGGGTGCAATGGGAGGGTTTTATTTCAACCCGATAGTATGTCCACCTGTTTTAAAAAGTTTTAACCTCATCCATGGTCTTAAAAATATTTGATTGGTTTGGCCCTATTTTTTAATGTTTACTTAACTTATAAAATATCCAACATCATGAAATAAATTTTTTTTAAAATAATTATAAGCTAATTATGTTCATTTCGTCTGGAAAATATTTTAGATTCACGCGCCCCGTTTATTATTTTAAAATAATTTTAACCTGCTCATTCAATATTTAAATTATTTTTAAACCGCCTATTGCAGATCTCTAATGGGTACTCTAGTTTTTAGTTTATTCTGCGCTTATTCATGCCAGGTTTTAGAGTACAATTTATTCAAATGAACTTTCGTTTGTTTTCCACCTTCTAAGCTCATTATTTAATCTGGGGGTTAAGAAGGGGTAAAAGTGAGACTGAAAGTTAAGTCCCTAAAAATTTACTTTATAATTTAGGTTCACGGGTCCAATTTGAAAATCCTGGATATGCTACTAATTATCAGACTATTGTCATATATTGAGAATGTATAAGGTGACGAATAGTAAAAAAAGAGGATATTCGAACAAAATTTTTAGACCTACATATTCATTAAATAACACTTTCTATGTAAATTTTTAATATATTTTTTTTAATGGTAAAATTTTTTATTTATCTATAAAAAGACATAAAAGTATCCAATTAAACTATAATATAATATTATTAAAACTCATTCTATAAAAACGGAGGTGGTACTACAAGTTTCCAAAAAACATCAATAATTATATTTTATAATTTGTATATTTTGTTTTAAAAAATAATCTTTTTTGGATACTTATGTAAGGGCTCTTATTTTAAAAAATGCAATTTGTAAATTTCGAATTATTTATTGTTTTTTTTTCTCTGCTATATCAACAGGGTCAGAATTTACATTTTCTGGGAATGAAGATACGCATTGAGTCCCATTAAGGATTTACTTAAAGAGAAAGGCACAAAAGTTATCTAATGATAAATTATCAGGCTCCAGAATGTTTGGTATTCGGGCCCACGTAAGAGAAAGGCTAATAATTGAATTAATCATTGCGTGTCTTGCATGTCTTGACTATACATACAATTAAACCATGTATCCCTTTGAAATCTGTTACATCCAATTCGATGGCTTAATTGTCCATCTGATAAGAGGTTACCTAGGTTACGACTTCGTAATGCTTCCAACCAATCATAACTACTAGTTAGTTGAATATATTCCAAAATGGGTTTGATGAGAGTATTTTAAATTTTTTTTAATTTATCAAAAATTGATTGATGTGCTAAAACCGTGGGTAAAAGAGCTTCAGGTTTTTTTGCGGTGTATAAAGAAAATATGATATATGATTTTATATTACAGTGTTAACCAGATTTGCTGGAAAACATTTCCATATTTTTTAATTTATTTGAAAATAAAATTATTTGACTTGTAAAATATTGTTAAAATAACATATTCATATTAGTGATCTGCATCGGGCCTAATTTTTCAAGCCTGGCCCGAAATTTTTTTAAAAAAGTTTTAACGGCCCCGAATTTATTAATATAGAAATGAATTCTTCTCAAATATTATAAATACTCAAAATAAAAGATATATCACATATTTTTATTTTACATAAAAAATTCAACATATAATTGATAAATTTATATATATTTAAAAAAATTTCTAAGGCCCGACCCGACCTTCCCGAATTTTTTAAAAAATGTTGGACCCGACCCAGTCTGAACCCGATTTTTTTTTAAAAAAGGGCCCACTTTTGCAGATCTCTAATTCATATATTCTTATCAATTTTTACAAATTAAATAATTTTATTTTTACAAAGAATTAAAAAATATGGAAATGTTTTGAATTAAATCTGCACAACACTGTATTTTAAATATGGATGAATTCAACTATAGTATTTGGTGTTAATTTAAAATATTGAATAAACTAGAAGAAAACTAAATAGTATCATCATTATTAATATATAATTCTATTTTAGAGTTATCAAGAATATAATAATTGATTAAATACAAAGATTTATATAAGGATTAGAAAAACTATAAAGAATAATCGCTAAACATATTAAATATAATTTGATTTAACTCTAGATCGGTAATAGTATTTTTCCAACATATAAAATTTTGCACAATCAAATTAGAAAATACTTTAATGGATAACTTTAAAGCTAAGTTCATAAGCAGAAATATAATTTTACAAATTTTGATTTGATGGATGAGTAAAATTCCTTGGGTAGTGTTGTTAAAAAGCCCGATTTTTAAAAACGGCTTGATTAAGATCATAACCAAAATAATATTTTGTAAGCCTGGTGATTTTGCTCATAGGTGGCAGATAGGTTTGGGCTTCTACTTGCCAAATCTGAGGCTTACACAATATTATTTTGGCTAAAATCTTGATCGGCCAGTTTTTAAAAATCAACCAAATTCGGACTTTTTAACAACACTATCATTGGGATTGTTTTTAAAAATTAATTTATATATAAAGATAATAATTTATGTGACTAACTCTATATATTTAGCATGTGAATAAAATGACTTGTCAGTCTAACAATGAAACCATTTCCAGACACAACGTTTTTTTCAAAGTGAGTTTTGTGAGGCATTTTTCCAGCAATTTTTTTATATTTCTAAACAAAATAGTTTGTCGAATTTTGTATAATATAATATTTTTAAAAATTTGATAGCCAGGGGTTTAAAAGACACCATTTAATCGTTTATAAAAATGATTAATTCTTTATTAAAAAACATTCTGTCTGGAATTGACCATGGAAAAATTATTCTAAAAAAAATTGTATTCAGTTTATATAAAATTATATAATAAACAAAATTCAATGCTTTAGAAAAGGTATAAAAACAGCTATATCTGTAAATATAATTATATAAAGAAAAACCTAAAATTTTGATATAGGCCTACTATTGTATATATCTATAAATAAAGGTTTTCCATTTTAATTTACATTAATAAAATAAATAAATACATATTAATTGCAGTGAAAATTCTGAATGCACTTTATAAGCAAATAATACTTGCAAGTTAAAGAAACATAATACCGAGTATAAATAATATGTTTTTTAAGTATATTCTCTAATTCATATCCAAGCATTTAATAAAATTGTATAGCATATTACTTTAAAAGGGCATATAGAAAATTTTTAATAAAATAATTCAATCATTTAAAAGTTCTTTGAGTTTATTCAGAGCGCCAAAAATAGCTTGCAGGAATTCACGAGATGATAAATAATTTTGTTGATTTTGTAAGACAGGATTTGAGCCTTTCTCAGAAATATTGTTGGAAGATTTGTTTAAATTTTTCTTGAAGCGAGTAACATGGAAAAAGAGTTTGTAACTACAAGGGATCATATAAGCTATACCAAAACCATTGGGCGTGACGGGACCAAAACCACCACCAGGCGATAACTAAAGTTTAAAATTTATTAAATTTGATAAATATTTCCAATATTGCTGCTATTAATTATTATTCAGTCCTCTATTTTTACCTTACTTTTATGTTACTTATCAACTTAATTCTTTTTACTAAGATAGATATCAACTATAGATCTAAGATAGATATCAACTATAGATTTGAAATTACTTTATCAGCTATAACCGGGGAATCAAAATCAATTTTATTGGTTATTTGCTGCTGAGGACTTTGACTAGTAGATAAATCCCAGGGTATAGATAAAATTTCTTTCAAAATCTGGCAATCCTTTTTCATTTATTTTTTGAAAAAAATATAATATTGTAATTGTAATCATTAAAATTTTTGTATCAACTATAATAACAGTTGGTAAGTGGATAGATTTTTAGGTCAAATTCTTATAAATTTTTATTATAAAATTATTATAGGTTGTCAATTTGAACATTAAATAAATTAAACTAACCCTAGCAATTAGTTAACCCTAACCCATTATTTAGATTTTATTTTAAAAAATATATAAACTTCTGTGATACTTTTTTTTAAAGATGAAATCTTACAATATGATAGGTCATTAACGAACAACTTAATTTTTAAGATATTTAGATAGTTTGCCAAACTTGAGGAAAAAATTATGTTATTTTTCTATATTATAAATATTATTTATCAACAAGTATTACTTTTCCCATCATCTTAGACATTACGAATAGCGCAAAAAGATGCCTATCTATACCCTTACCCGTCATAGCCTCTTTGTAAAGGCTTTGGTGTTTATTTGCCGCTGTTTTGAAAAAAATTATTCTTTCGGCTTTGGTTGAATTTGGGTCATACATCGACCTTTATAATAATATATTAAAAATTTAATGGAAAAATAGCAATATTTTATAATAGTGGCTTTATATTCGTAAATTCGCATTTTGACCCTTTAGATTACCTTTGATTAGTAAGGTAAAGGACAAAAAACTAAATACTTCAATGTAAAAAAAACAAGGGAAAACAACAAAAATACAAAGTATTCTAACGAAATTTTGAAACAGCCTATAAAATTAATCTTCTTATAAAAAAAATTAGAAATAAATATTTTAACAAACTCAATTTAGCAAAATGGAGTTATATAATGATTGTGATAATAAAATATTTAATATTGGTGTATTACATTTTCCATAAGAATTGCAGTATAATAAAAGATTTAAATAAAAAACCATGGCTGTTAACAAAAAGGTTTTAGTTCGGGTTTAGTCTCTGAAACAGATTCGGGTTTGGTTACTAGGAAATTTTTTAATTTACATAAAATGGATATACCAATATCTAAAAAACGACTCCTTGAAAAATGATTCTCACAAAAAATGTTTTAAATATTGAAAAAAAAAACTCATTTAGAAGGATGCCGCCAATGAGTTAAAAATTATGTTTTAAATATTTAATATATTTTTTTATCATATAAATATTTTTAGTATTGTTAAAGGGTTCGATCCGATTTAAAAAAAACTAACTCAATATTTTATCAGAAAAATATTACACAAACCTGAAGATTCCGTTTATAGATGACACAAAGGTCTAGACATTTATTATCGAAATCTCAAGGCTAGGGAAGTATTTTCTGGTTAAAATATTGCGTTCGCTGTTTTTAAGAATTCGAGCCATTTTAACAACATTAAATATTTTACCTGTTATTTTTTTAATACTGTTAATAAAATTAAATTTTAAAAAAATTCTTGAACTCTGAACATTTTAAAAAAGGTTCGCGGTTCGGGTTCACAACCTTGAAAAAAATAACATTATCCATCTCTACTTTTGATTGATAAAGGGCCGGTGAAACAAAAATATTTTTTTTAAACCAAACTATATCGAATTTATTTTTGTTAGATATTATTTTTTAACTCACAAATCTATAAAAAAAATGGTTAATTATTAAAAGTAAAAAATATCAACCTTGAAAAGCAAAGAATGATTTTAAAATTCAAATATTAAACAAAAACTACTCTTTGAGCCCTAATATAGTTTAAAAAAAATAAAATTAAAAAACGTTATAAATTGTCCTATTTCGTTGGTGAGGGTTCTGACAGTTTCTGTACGTCCCCTGACAAAAAGACGAGTACTTGATGCTTCGTAGGTAGATCTCAAGCGCCCCATTCTTAATTCAATAAACTCGGACGGTGGTGTAGAATTGCTGCCAAAGTTGTTAATATCACTGTATTTTGAAGATGACAATTCTAGATTATTACGGTCTATAAATAGAGTCGAATTGGTGTCGGAAAGAATTTTGCCATTTCCCATTTGTGTTTCAATTACAGATATCGATAAATCGTAATAAGCGAGTTGAATGGCTATTTGTATGAAGGCATCAGGGCTTATCTTTTATAAGCAAAAAGGATCGTAAAATTATAAAGTATTTATAATTGATTTAGATTAGTGATCTTTTTCAAGCCCATTCTGGCCCCCAATTTTTTTTTACGCCCAGAATAGCCCGATCCGGAATATAAAAAAATCATTTAGACATGAATTTATTTATATATAGAAAAATTAAATTTTTTTTAAAATTATAAAAGAAATATTCTACAAATAAAAAATATTGGCGCCTTGTTTCTTGTAAAAATTATAAGATGTATCTATTTCTACCAAAAAATTGAGTGATATACTATTTTAAAATTTAAACACCACCCGGCCAGGTCCGATTTTTAAGCTAGACCCAACCCGAAATTAATTTTAAAAATAGGCCCGGCAGATTTGCAGATCTCTAATTTCGATGGCTTTTAAAAATTAATCTATGTCTTAAAAAGTAATTTGATTATAAATAGAGCATGGATCAGCTATAATATTGAAAGAACGAAAAAAGAATTACTTTTTTTTGCTTCATAAAACCTTTTCCGAAATTCACAAATTCTTCAACGCATATATCCAATCCTTTTGCATTCTATTCAAAAATGGAGAATAATAATATTAAAGAGGTGGACAAAAAAATCTAATATTTTTCAGGCAGTCTTCTTGAATTTTATCATTTAAAGTCTTGTTCAAAACATATTTCAAAATTATATAAGACTAATGTTAAAGTTATGAAAATTTTACAAAATTGTGTTGGCCACATTTTAATTTTTCCATTAAAAAAAGTTTTCGATTAGAAACTTTCAGATTAAATTTTTTTATGTATTGGACTAACGGTTTAACAAAATATTCCAAATGGAACGTTTGATACGCCCTAATTTATTCTTTTTATATATATTTAATATTTTAATCATAATTAATATTCGATATTATAATTTATTACTTTAATTTTATAATTATATTTTACAAAAATAATAAAGGTAACAATTTTAAAATAAAATTAAGTTAAAAAAAATTAATTGTAATAAATTTCTTTAAAAAAATTAAATATAAAAAGATTCCATTTAAGTGATTTGTTAGCATTTTTTAAGTTTAAAAGAAATGATTTGTTTCTCAATTAAATAATGTCTTGAAATATTTATTTACGTTAAAAGGTATTTTTATAACCGGAAATGTACCGATATTCATGCACGATATCGGTCGATATGATCTAATTTAATCGATAACAGTGGGATAACCTAAAATAATTGTTATGCTCATATAAAATTTCTTCTACATTGAGCTATGAATTAATATAACAAAATTTAATTTACACATTTAATCCAATAAAAAAGAAAGTGCGGTTAATTTTTTATAATATTTACTTTCAAAACATTGCTGTGAAATTAACGTTATTTCTTTTTATGAAGAAGTAGCATACAAAGAAATAAATTATAAGTTCATTGTGATTTAAAAGCAACAGGGATCCAACCCGTAAAGCATAACAGTTCGGTTCAGATAAAAATAAATCAGATTCGGTTCGTTAAAAATAATAATATCTGTTTGGGTTGAACCTTTAAACTCCGATTCAAACATTTTCGCATTTACAATCGTATGGCAAATATGTTTAAAAAACATTTTTTTAATTTTATCACTATTTTGTTCTAAAAAAATAGTCAAATTATGTATAAGGAGGAAGAATAAATTTCATGATAACTTGCGTAGCTAACACTGTCAAATAGCAATATACAAACATATCTAAAAATAATTACTGATATTTATCATCAAAACTGATTAGTAATCATCTTTAAAATTAAAATATAAAAAAGTTCAAACCGGTTTTAAGCATTTTTAGACAAATTTTTGAACGGTTCAGGGGTATAACGGTTCGGTTTGAATCCCTGAAAAACAATTACTTAAATTGATACTTTTAAAAAATTGGATCGGTGGAGGAAGGTGAGGAGGGGCTATGGGAGAAAATCGAAAATAAACAAGATTTTTTAAAAAATATTTCTCATATATGTTGCAAGATTATAGGCTCAATTTTTTTAGATACATTATTTTAGAACGAATTTTTTGAATAAAATACATATAAAAATATTTTTTTAGTATCGGTATTGGTTATAGGTACTGTATTATCAATATCGACTAAAAAATTTGTAAAAAAAAATTAACTTCTAAATTTTAACATCTATATAAGAATTTTTACTCCACAGGCGCGTAACCAAGGGGGGATAAACCACCAGAAATTTTCCTGTTCTCGTAAATATATTTATATGCTAATAATCACCCCCCCCCACCCTAAAAAATGTATAAAATATATAGCTATAAGAAAGAATTTGAAAGAAAAATTAGTAAAAGTTAATAGCTTTTTTAAATAACGACCATAATTCTAAATTTTTAGAAAAAAGCATTTTTATAAAAAATAAGTGAAAACTCAAAATTATTAAGACCTATAATAAATAGACCTAAAAACCTCCAATAAAATTAATGGCAGAAAACACCGCCTAATAGAGCCCCCCCCCCATAAAAAATCCTGGATACGCCTATGTACTCCATAAATAAAAAACTCTAAATTTTTGGATACAACCAAATTTAAGACAGGACCGACACTGAGTATTTTTTTATGGGAGGCTACTTTTTAAGAGTCCCTGTATATAAAGAAATAGGCCTTATCGTTTTACTTGGAGTGCAAAATTATGAGCCGATGTTACGGAAGACTTGATTCCTTTATTACTCCAATCCCAATCTAATTTTTCGTAAGAAAGCAATAAATTATTATCATAATTATGTTCGTTATCATTATATGCTTCTTTCACGTTGGTATTTTTGACATCGAGATTTTTGTATTTCGATGCTGCAAAAACATAAGGGGAAGCAGTAGGACTTGCCTTTAGATAACCTTGACAGTTGCCATCACTATCATAAGAATCGTTTTTTACCCTTAGTGTATTTTTGTTTAAAAAGATGTTTATTTCCTCCAAATAGTTCATTTTAAAAATCATGGAATAAGTTAAACCGTTTCAATAGTTTAATTATCGACACTATATAGGGCAAAGATATTCTCATCAGAGGTGGGCTTAAATTTAATTTTAAAATGTCAATATTTTTATTTGAACAAAGCTTGTGAACATGCCTCAATTTTAAAATATAGAACTTTTAGAAGATCTGAGTGATAAAAGCTAGTTGAATATACTGAATTAATTAGATGGTAAGATTGATATATTATAAAATATTAATGTAATCGTTGACTATGGTTAATAAATAATGTAATATCACCACATCTTTCTTATAGAATAATAGTGATGTAAAGTAGAGCACGGCATTAAATTTTAAGGAAAAATAAAAAATAAATGTAATTTGTTATTTCTTCAAATTAAGTAAAAATATTCGCTAAATTAACATAAATTTCCATCAAACAAAAATGAAATGATGTCATTTCAAACTCGTTAGAGAGAGTGTATTCGTGGAGATGCCCCGTGATAGTAGCGTCGGCGTAAGAATGTTCGCAGTTCAATCCTATTTTGCCGGAGGGAAAGACTAACAAATTGACACTTTTGTCTAACCAAACATGACTGGAAGGTGTTAATGGGCATTTCTTCTTTCCGTATAGGTCAGAATTTTTAGCAGGGTTTTTTAAGATAACGTTTGCATTGTTGTTTGTATTTTTAAATGTGGCGGATTTATCAATCTCCAATTTCTTCCCATTATCCTTTGAACCTGTATTAAGTGGACATATGTTGTTTATCATTTCAAAATCACATTCATTAGGTAAATCGTTACGACTGATTCCATCGAATTTATCATTATCATAATTATGAATGTCAAATCCAGAAAGAAGTTGCCTGGCTTGGTCGGTAAAAGACAAGGGTTCGGAAAGAGGTTGAGGTAATGTGGTGTCAATTGTTACCTATGATTATTTTAAAAATGTTATATTTTAAAATAAAATTAAGTATATCCTATTTTGGTTAAGTTGTGCTATTTATATTTATTTTGAATGTTAAATTTAAAAAGAATATTATACAGAATTAATATTCTTCTCTTCTCTCAATGAATTAACACTAAGGCCTCATTTACAATAAGCGCGAATGGTCGTGCGATGTGAATCGAAAGATAATCGCTAAATGATAACATAATAGTATAGTAATATTAATACCATGATTTATTTTGAAAGTATAGCTATGCGATGTCGCGTAAATTTTGCAATTAATGAGGCCTTAAGTCATCTCTTTCTTTATATTTCTACAAAATTTTTTGCTTCCTTATTCCTCCTCTTTACATCTTTCTTCCCTATTTTGATAAAATTGAATATTTAACCATTAATATGGCACTTTCGATCGTGTCCAATGATTTTTTGTTCAAGCCAACACTAAAATATTTTCCCCTTATTTCGGCCCATTCGTTTCTTTCCAAAGCGGTTAACGTGTTTAAAGCTCGTTCCAATTTATAATTTTCTTAAAATTCAAAATTTTTGGGAGATAAAACCAAATATAAATATTAAAAAATATATTGATCCTGGTTTTAATTAAATTTTAGTTAATTAATCACTATTAAAATTAATTTTACATGTATACTAAAATATGATTCAATAAAAAATGATTTTTATGGGTGGAAATCAGTAATAAACTCAAAAATTGATTAAATCAGGCTGCTCAATTTGGAGTGAGTTTTTATAACACAAAATTCGACTAAGTCAAATCCAATGAGCTGAGTCTTTTATCAAGATTAGGTTTAAAATATTTAAAAAATATTATTAAATGAAAAGGAATAAAGACAGAGAATTAACATATGCAAACTTATTCATAAACTATTTCTTTAAGGAGGAAAAGAAAAGCTATTTTTTTTATTTTAAATTATTAATTGAGCCCGTTTTCAAATTTGAAAAATCTGACTTTGCAAGAAATCTATTTTTGCATGTGTAGAATACGTACCCTATGAATTTTACATTTACTATGAATCTTTGAAACATTCATTATCGATAAAGATTTTTAATTAAATATGTTTCAAAAAGTTTATAACTGAAATTCATAGGTGTAGTAGATATTTTACATGTTAAATTAGATTTTTAAAACTTAAAATGGCGTTCAGATGTTAAAATTAGATTTTTAAAACTTAAAATGGCGTTCAGTAAATGGTAGTATTATTAAATCACCTAACTTTGACCAGCTTTTGGTCTTAATTGACTTGAGCCTCTAAGTTGAGTCCCAACTTGAAGATCGAGATGGATTAATATTTTAAGATAAAAACTTGATTACGGATGTTATAGAATGGCCAAAATTAGTTTATTTAACACCAGTAAATTGTTAAAAATTTAAAAACATAAGAGATTGCCTGAAAAAACACATTAAAGCTAATAATATAAACCTGTATCGGTCGATGGATCAGCTTGGCATGATTTCTCAACAATTTTTTCAATGGTCATTTGTAAAATGTAAGTTGGTGGTGCCTCGTAAGGTTGTTGTAATACGTTACTATCGAATGTTTTTACATGCACTCTTCTGTCCACGTTTAGTTTGTAATAATTTCCGTTTACGTAGATTATTATATGCTTTATGTTTGATAGCGTATTAAAATTTTTAAAAATTATAAATCACAAACTAAGCAGGAATTAAAGACTCGGGGGAAATTTTTTTTATAAAACATTAAATCAAAAATTAGTCTACTAATAAATATATTACTCCAAATACTTTGAATTTCATTAATAATTACTGGAAAATTTGGGTTATCCCCTATTATGGGTCGGCTCAAAAAAATCATCAAGCAAGACTACTTGCGCTAAATATTTTTATGGGCCGGGCTGGAATTTTGTAAATTTTTCAATCTTAAAATTAGGCAAATTTGTCATAATCAATTATAAAAAATTATTATGGACAGGGCAACTTGTACAAGAATACTGACGGGGAAAACGAAAAACCTTTTCAAAAATTTCAATGAGCGGTTCAGGCCAAGCCAACTTCTAATCATTATATAAAATTATGTCAATATATAGTCCAAGCCTGTATCTCACCCACTTAAAACTAAAATTTTATCTAAACTACTAAAAAGAGTATCTCTCATTTACAATGCAAAAATATGGCTAAAAACATCTGTGCAATTATGTGCAGCAATAGGGTCAAGGAAAACTCTGTTAAGGATGGAAATATCAAAGTTGTTACTTGTAATTTTATTTAACAATCTTAGTAAGTTATAGAATTAAAATATTTTTTATAAATAATTGATTAACTTTGGATTGATGTGGTGGGAAATGTTTTAGTATATCGAAATCGTGTCCAGGAATTCTATCAATTTTTTAAAAATTAAAACATGAAAAATTTTGGTAATGAAAGTTGTATTTTATTTATTTCTCTAGCTTTTTTTAGATTTATTTCCTTCGAAAAACCCAATTTACACGCAATTGAATACCATTTCGATATAATATTTTAATTATAAGAAATAAACTTTCATGATAACAAAAAAATGATAATACTAATAATAGGAAAAAATAAAGTATGATGATTTTTTTAAAAAAAATTGAAGTTACCTACACCTTAACTAATAAAATCCTATATCGTCGGCTGAGTATTATAGTGTTCTATATTTACTTTACAAAATGTATTTTTTTCGATAAATCAATTATTAAGTACTGTTTTCTTACATATCACCAATAAAAATGTTAAAATATAATTTAGAATAATCCTTTATTTAAATTATTATGGCTTAATCTCCTATCTAAAGTACAGGAAATATTTTTTCCAATGGCTCTCCTGAAAAATTATAATAAATGGATAGACTCCCTTTTTAGTCATTCCTTTTCAAACACATATCGACGACAATGAATAATATCAACTTAATGCCTCTTTTCAGTATGAATTAGATGACAAGAAGACGTTGTATCAAAAAAAAAGTCGCGGACATTAATGTGCATTCATATATTATAAATATAAGTCACACGCAACACAAAATGACGCTACAGCTGACTCCTATGTATACACACTTTTAATGAATGAATCGCCAATCTAGTATTATATATAAAAAATTAATGAAACTAGTTTTATTTAACTGGCAGGTAGTGCCATTTAATCAAATTATGTTTTAAAATCTATTTTTAATACTTTAAAAACATTGATACTACTACTTTTAAAAAAACACATAGAACGTCCTCTAATTCTAAAGCCGAAGTATCGTATTCAGAATTTATGAGTTTACCTGCAAGTAGAAAAAAGACGCTTATATTGATCCATGCACACGGGTACTATTTCTCGTACTTTGAGAGGTTTGAGTGTTTGGTTGAGTATTTCCTGACGAAATTTGAGCATATAATACACAATAACGGCAGCTCTATTAAAAGATGTAATAAATATAAAAATTTTGTAATTATATTTTATAACGACTGAATTAGACAGTTACAAATTATATAATATTTAGAATGTTAGGAAAAGAAAACAGTAAATGGTAACATCTATTGTATATTAAAATCAGTTAACAGTAGACTGAAGATTTTCACGATCCGACCTCAAAAAAATAATCACAATTTCCCGAAGGTTTTGAAGACCTCTACTCTAGATATGCTGGAATATAATAAAGTCTTTCAAAAAAAACGCGCGTTATAAAAGATTTAAGTCCAAAGATTAGCCAAACCCCTATGACAACGATTAGGAATAATATGTGAAAAAAACTGCTAAAAATGAAAATTTATGAGCTATTCTAAGTATTATATTCATAATTATGTAATAAATAAGATTAAAATGTTATTATTTATTTTTTCAGGATGTTTAAGGAACTGTGCCGAGAACGTCACAGAATCGCCGTCCATATATACTCTCAATGTCAAAGCTCCGTTACCGGAATGTTTCAGAAAGCTCGGTTCAAGTCCTTGCAGGCTACGTGTTCTCAAGCATTAAAATTGGGCAAATTAAAAATTTCTTTTGCAAATATTCAAAAAAAAAGTCTTCACCAAATTCAGTATATATATACTGTTTGCGATGAGAAGATGTCAGGTTTAAAGTAAATTAATTTTTTAATAAATCATAGTTTAATTATTTAAATGACTCATAATAAAACATTAACTAAACAGATATGTGTTCTAATAACTGTCTTCTCATAAATTTTTTTAAAATTGTTAATCAGATAATGTTATGTTTTTAAGAGTAGTGGAAATTTATATTTTAAGAAACTAATTTTTTAAAAAAATAGAATTTCTATCTTTTTGGTTTACTAATTGAATGCTTATAAAAACCTCGCACACTGGTTTTGGGTAGGAATGTAATAACTCATATCCAATATATAATAGTTGGAGTTGATGGCCAAAGATTTTCGGTTCATAGTATACACGTATTTTTCCCTTGAAGTTGAGCGTAAGTTTTTAAAATAAAATATATTTAGAAATATAGAATTTGTGAGCTAGTAAAAGTTAAATCATATTAATGTGTTTAATATTGCAAAAAAAAATATATAATTTGAAAGCAATAAAAATTTATTTTTATGACTAACTATCTAGTTAAAAAATATGAATAATTAAAATTTGAAATTCAATTATTTTACCATTAGTAGATAACTTTCACAATTATAGGCGCCTATTAAATCGCTCAGAATTAAAATCTAAATGTTTAGAAAAGAAAATCCTTAAAATAATTACTCATGTATAAAGATAAAATGCTAGAATTAAAAAAATGAATCTCATAAAAATATATAAAATGCTCTAAAAATCGTCTTTAAGAGAAATATCTGTGGAGTTCAGTAAAAATTTTGAGCCTTAAGTATTTTTTATTTCAGAGTAATTAAGGTAAAAAAATTCTGAATGAAATAATATAAATCACAATTATACAAAGATTTTGGAAGCTTAACCTTATTAAATTTTATATATTTAATAAGGCGATGGATTGATGGGCATTATATTATTTTTTCAACTTTTAATAATTTGTTGAACTCGTTTTTTAACTTTTAAACAGTCTAATTATGCCGGAACTATATCCCAATATGTGTAGAAGGTCTTCCTTATAAATTTTAGACAATTTTGTAATGTAGTTCACTGTTCGATCCGACGCAATCTAATGCCAATTTCCAAAGACCAAATCGAACAGTAAACCAAAATACAAGGGCCAAACCAAATGACCACGATTTATTATGGTTTAAGTACCTATATAAAACAAAACTATCGTTATAAAAAAAATTTTAAGGGAAATATCTTTATTATTTTTTAAAAAGAATCTACATTAAAAATGCGTATATTAATAATATAAAAAATTAAAATTAAAAAAAATTCCAAAAAAAGGCAAAAAATAAGAACATTAAAATGGGATCATTTGGATCTTCAGATTTTAATGAAAAATCTAATGGGCTCGGAGCCAAAATTAGTGGTCGTTACCAACGGAATAAAAATAATATAGGCTAAAAGGAAATATTTATAAAATTTTCGTATCTCCGTTTGGAAATGCTAAATGTTGGCAGTAAATACATCTATACATGTGCAATCTCAGACTAATTCATGGAATGTGTGATATGCCATCTGGCCTTTTTCCGCCAGATGCTTCGAGTCCTACCCAGGGTTTGAAAATTGACCAATTAGAGAATTGATTGTTTGATGTCGGATACTTCTCCGCCTGCTGCATTTGGGAAGAGGATAGTAGGCATTTGACTTGTCTGCCGCTTTACATAAAATATAAGTGTAAAAAACAATTAGTTCCTTGAATTTTAGATGAAGTCCCAAATTCGAATTAAGGATAGCCTCAGACCATTCATAGCCATCATATAAGTTGCCAAACTTTCAATATGGTATCACTTCAGACTGCAACTTTAAATTAAGGAAAGCGAAGGAAAAATGAACAAATAAAGGAAGGTCCCATTCTTTTAGAGTCGTTCACGCAGGGCAACTTGAGGTGTGTCATCCTCCCACGTAGAAAGAGCTTTCATCAGCTGAAAATCAAGGAACAACCGTGAAGAAATATGGTTTTTGGAGAACTAATGCCAATGCCGCCAACCTGCTCAAAAAAGTAGCCTGGGTGCAAATGAAGGTTATAGATTCTCTTTATAAGGAATTTAACTCTTCCTCATGAAGGTTAAGAATAACATCAATTAAGTAAACAGGAGATGACCGAAAACCATGTGTGATTTTGGGAATTAGAAAGATGTTTTTGATTAAGAAAAATGTGTGATGGGACAATAATGATTGCAAAAGGGGAGTTTCCTTTAGAAATTAATAATTTTTAACTTATTTTAAAATTATATAATTCTTGCAAACTTAAAATCATTAATGGAAAATAATATTTAGTAAGAGTTAATAATATATCAATAAAAACGTAGGATTGGAAAGTCTACATGACATTAAGTAAATTTGTTTTATATATGAATAAAGCTTAAATAGAAGCCAAAACTTCTTAATTTTGTTTATAATATACTATTTAATAATTATAAAAAGATAATAAATAATTTGAAATATATAATTCTTCCTTTGACCCTGACCAAACTGAAGAGCGAACCAACCGGGGAACCGATCCTAAACACTAAATCTGCAAAATTTAGCCAAACCCGAGAAAAACACGTTGACCGTCACTAAAAATTAATATATATTAAAATTTCATAAGTTCGCTATAAAATTGTCTAAAATTTATAGGCAAGGTATTCTAGAATGCATTTCCGCCAAAATCAAAGTTTTAATTTTAAAAAACACGCTCACTAAATTATTCAAGGTTGAAAAAATAAAACAATTTTTTTTTAAAAACTCGCCCTACCAGATATTTTATAATCCATAATTTAAATTTTTTTATATATTATATAAATATAATTTAGTATATTTGAAAGATAAGACATTTTTCATTATCAAACTAATTCTACTACTAATTTAATATTTTTTTCAAAAATAAATTTCAGCTCATTTAAAAAATATGGTTCTTTAATTAATTTAAATGAAGTTAGATCATATAATAATCCAAATTTCTATTTTAAGAAGATTTCAGCATTTAACTCCTAAAAATTGTATACAGTAGAGAATTCTCGATTCGTATGATATTTATTTAATCTAAATTTAATTTTTTTTACCACCAATCGGAAACGTAATTATCGGTGAACATCATGGATCTGAGTAACAACAAAAATTGAAGTTTTTGCCCTATCCCTTTTTCGAACTCCTTAAAATATATAAATTTATAATTATTTTTATCCTAAATGTCAAAAGTTAATTTTTTAAAATATCAACTTTAATAAAACGATAATATATTAAAAAATAGCATTGGACATAGCTTTAAAAGAGTTGTTTTTTTCGTAGTTAGTGTTAAACCATGATCAGTCGGAAATTTTTTATATAATATGCTAAGTTTTAATCGCATTCTTTTAAATAACCAAAGTTCAATCAGTAGTTTACTTGTCAGATATTCCCATTTCTTTGACCAAAAACTCGTAGCTAAATTAAAATTATTGAGTAAAAGCTCGATTTTGCAGTTTTTAAGAGATCTTATCAACACTACCTTGATGACTGCGAAAAAATTGAATAGACCCGCTTGGTGGATTTATATTTAAAAAAAAATAGTGTTTTATATACCCTTTGTAACATTTTCCCGCCATTTTATGTTTTGATTTATTTGACATTCAATTTTGGGGCGCGACTCCCTTCAAATAATATGGCGTTTTGTGAAATTTATAGGTAATTTAAAGAATACATTTAAATACGTGTGAATAATAATATTTTTTTTTACATATAGTTGGATTAATATCCCCTTCTAATTCTTTCGTAGCTTTTACAAATGAACTTAAAATATCAATCAAATCTTTTAATGTACTTTTTTTTGCAAGATATTTATTTTATTGATATCTCACTTGAATGATAAAAATTTACAATGTTATCTTATTGCTATTATAATATAGATTTCAACATATATAGTTTTGAATTCCACATTATTTCAAAAGGTGATGTTTAAAAATTGACTCATGTCGCTTTGTTTAAAATACATTTTTTAAAGTGTGATTTTTAAGTATGGCTCCTTAAGGATATTTCGAAGAACTGTATTTAACAGATGTGCACTGCAATTTCATCTATTAAATTTTTCCAGATTTAATTATATTAGCTCCTTGATCAGATAAAAATAACATATTTTTCACTTTATGGAATTTATTCCTATTTAGGCAAAATTTTAATTTTTATATAAAGATTCTCCTTCTTATGAATAGAAATGGTTATATATAAAAATATTTGAAAGAATTAGTATACATGTCAAGATATTTTTATCGCATTAACTGATATTTATATTTTCGTATCATGTCAATACCGTGAAACTTTTTCCGTTGATTACCGCGAAAAAATATTATAGCAAATGCATTATCGCGAATGCATCATAGCGAAATTATTATAGCGAATGCATTATCATTTATGCAATAGTGATTTATATTTGACAATGGTTGATATAATTAGTAGAAGTATTAAAATACTTTGATACTTAGCCCTTACTTTCTAATAAGGAATTCATCATTAATATGTTTTTATTTTTTAAATATATCGGAAACCATAAATTTGTTACCTTTTGGAAGTTCCTGGCCGATAATATTTTTCCATCGGGTCTCTATTTCTCTAAGGAAATTCTTTAGACTCTAATTATTTTGTAACTCATTAAGCAAATTCAGACCTTTTTCAAAAAACCAGCCTAATTGACGTTTATATATTTATTTAACATAGCGTTTTTAAATTTTTATAACTCTAAAACACGTCACTTGCTATTTATGAAATTTCGTATTTTATTAAAAATATCTATGGAATTTAAGTATCCTCAATTTTTTTTTTAAATAATTTGATTAAGTCGTTTTTTAGAAAATTTGAAATACTAATATTTGACAAAAAATAACTTAAGACCCTCATTTATTTTATTTATAAAAATGAGCTAGACGCGTTCCCATTATGTTATTCTATAGCCGGGTGCTCGCCTTTTTTCAAATTTTTTTCGTAATTATAAATTATAATGCAAAACACAAAGCATGCTTTGAGACTCATAAGATTATTAAAATAATATATATAATTAATATAATTAATCTATCCTTTTTTTTTCTTGTAAAACACCTAACAATACACGCCAATTTGATTATTTCTTGCGAAATTAAGGGGCCAATTCGGTATATGGAAGTATTTTGAGGTCTCTTAATAGCTTGTTGAACTGGACGTCCACTTTTTCCTACAGAATTCAGGAATTAAACTTCATTCCAATTTTTTCCCTCTCATGGAATAATTTTATTGTCTTTAATCACATAACTAGAAAAAAGACTCGTCGGTCAGGAAGCAAGAAGTTAACAAGAATCAATCAAGGAAATCATTATTCTATTGTTTTCCCCAATTCCTGAGTCACAATAGTCGCAATTTTATCATCAGAGATTACATGAATTAAATTCTGAGATGCTTAGCCATTTAATTCGGCAATTTACCTATAATGCTGAATATTCTTTCATGTCTTGTTGTGATAAGCTTAATCCAACCCATTTAAAAAAAAATTAGACCCGATTAGTGTTGTTAAGGTAACTAGTTACAAGTAAAATATTATATTTTTGCTAAAAAATAACTGTAACTAGTTATATTTTAAAAATTGTAACTAGTAACTAGTTATATTTTTACCAATGTAACTGCCAAAAGTAACTAGTTACTTTTAAGAATATGTATGTATAAATCTAAATAAAGGAAGATAATGATTCAGATATTGAATACATTTTAATAGAAGATATAATGTCTTCCTCTGGGCTAACCAATTATAATATAAATGACTTCGACTTCCTTCCCAGGCATCGAAGATGTTCCTGTCACACATTAAACTTAGTGGCAATACAAGATGCCAATAAAATACTTTTAAACAATGAGGATTATAGGAAAGTATATAAGGTTGCTATATCTAAATGTCAACGTTTATGGAATACACAAAACAAATCTAGGCCATCAGCTGCAAATTAAAAAGAGATTACATTCTCAGCTGCCATAACCCATTGTAACAAGATGGGGTTCTTTTTATACATCTTTATCTAAAATATTATCACTTATAAATGAAATGCCTTTGGATTTCGATTTATTATGTGATGAATTAGAACTGTGTAGATTTACATCACAAGATGGTAATTTTATTAAAGAATATTGCAGTGTTAAATAAATGTCTTATAAATAATATACAATTTAAAAAATTAGATTATGCAACCAGTAGCTAAAGCTATTGATATACTAGAAGGTGAAAAATATATGTATCTAGGTTATTATACCCCAACAATAACACAGATACTTATCTGTCTGGAAGGTGTTCAACAATTAAAATATTGTCAACCTTTAAAAGATGCTATATTAGCTAGTATTAAAAAAAGTTAACTTAAATTAAATAATTATTTATAAATTAATAATACAATGATATAGTTTTCATGATCTTTATGATAATGATAACATAATTGCTGCTATTCTTCATCCACTATTTAAAAGTGATTGGCTTTGGATAAGGCAAGATAAATGTAACTAGTTATGTTTCAAAAGTAACTTTAACACTAGACCCGATCTAGCCCAAATAGCCGGTACTTCTGCATTTCTAATTTTATTTACGCTAATATCATAATAATAAATTTACTTTACATGATATTATATCCAATTCATCATCTAAAATGAATATATGATATACTATAATCATTAGTCTCATCTCAAGAGTTTTAATACAATCAATTCTAAACGAAATATACAAATTTTATTATAGATTGTGCTCTCCCCAGTTTTCCTCCTAAGTAATATTCCTGAACACGTGAGTGTTTTTTTAAAATATAAATCGTGAAAAAAATAAGACAAATTTATTAAATCTAACAAAAAAAGTGATTTTTAAAAAAATAGATACGTTCAATCTTTCTTCGTATTTCGCTGGCAAGGCTCCGGGATCAAATTTTTGTAAAATATCGAGAGAAGCTTTTAATTTGTTCATCGTATCACTCAAATAAGGAACTGGTAGGTTGGGTAGCAAATTCTGACAAGAAAACAACACTTTCCTATTCGGATCAATAAATAATCGGTTCATAAAATTTAAGAAAAAGGATTGGATCCGAATTTTAGCGGTTCTTAACGTCAGGCTGGAATCATTTTTGACATCTAGACTTCGTTCGTTACCCAAACCTATTGAATTTTAGTTATTATAAAAAGTATATAAATTTTTAATTTTAATGATAATTATTTATCAGTTATTAATTTTCCTAATAAAAAGATAATTTAATATATATATATATATATTACTTTTCAATTGAATTAAATAAAATATATATAACTTTATATAATTAATGTAAAATATCAACATTAAAAACCTTTATAAAAAATTTGGCAATACCTTATAAAATATTTCGACCAGTATCCTTAAAAAATTAAGATTAAATTATGAAATTTTTAAAAAAGTTACTCAATAGATGAAAAAAGTGAAAAGTTAACAGTAAAAGAAATTTTTTTTTGATGGACTAAATCAGATCTGGCCTAACCAAACTCCTATCTTTCTAAAGAATGCCAATGAAAAGTCAGTTTTAAATTTAAAAAAAATTTTTTTGAGACGAAGGTTTTAGGGAACTTATTTATTTAGTATGAAATCTATATGATTAAATTTTTCCATTTTCCTCCAATAATATAAATTTTGATCCCGTGATCAATTTTCATCCAATAGTTTTGTTCCTGTTGTCAAAATTAAATTTAGGTAGAAATTATTTTCCAACAATAATATAACAACTGTAAAAGTTAAGAAGAAATATAAAGAAACCTTGCAATATCCTCAAATAGAGCGGAATTTAAGTAAATTAAGGAAAATATATTATTAAACAAATATATAATACAGGCTAAAAAAAATCATTCATTGGTTTTAGCACAAAACAGGTAAAATTATATAAGAGCGAAATCATTTTTTCGATATATTAAAATTACCTGTTGAAATAATTAGTTAATTTTTATTTATTTTGTATTGCAAATTATTTGTGTATTGTTATATAATAATTATGACTGATTAGGATAATTAAGCATGTTTGTATTTTAAAAAAAAAATCATAGCATTTTTAATTCACGAGTGGTTAAATTAATAAAGAAGCATGTTAAACAAGCAGATAATTAAGATTATAATCTAAAAAATGTCATTATTAAATTAGATTAGTGTTTTAATTTATATTGAAATAAGCATGTTTATAATGCAGATAATTTAAGATAATAAACATAATCATCAAATTGATGAATCTGGTTAAATTTATATTGAAATTCAGATTCGTAAAACTTTCTCGAACTTGGTCAGATTTAGACCTTGATTTCAAAATTTCATTTAAAGAGGATCAGACCTGTGAAAAATTATAAATGATTTTGTTTTTCCAATGTTTTATGAAAAATATTTACAAGAATAATCATAAAATTGCTTATAATTTTTCCGATTTCAATAAAATATCGTGATTTTTAGCAGTTGAAAAAGAATTTACTCAGGCCTATTTCTAAAATAAACTTTAGATCGGACTCAAATCTTTGAAAATAAATTATTGGATCGAATCCCTCGACAAAATTTTTTTTATCTCGGATTGGGTTGGACCTGAAAATATGTTGTCCTATATTTTTAAAATCGATTGCTTATAAAATATTTACCCAAAACATTGTTTACCAATGCTATTTTAGCTGCGCCTAATACTTTTATTTTTTGATAACTTTTTAGCAAAAGAGTAAAAATTTCGCCAATTTTAATAATATTACACAGTTTACACACTGTCATACCCAGCGTACCAGTTGAACGGTTATTTGCGTGCTAAAAATATTTTTACTGATAGTAGAGGTGTCTCCCAGGTAAAAACTTTGAAAAAGTTTTATTGTTAAAACAAATAATAATATTTAGTGTTGATGTTAACTTATAACTTATCAAAATATAGGTATATTTATTATTCATATCTCATAATATAAAGGGAAAAATCTGATCCACCCCTCATTAAATAAATAGGAGGGCTATCTGCTAGTGCTTTTGATATTGTGAATCAATAAGGTGCAAGTTATCTGACAACATATAACTTACTAAACAATGACCAAATTTTATTAAACCATTAAAATTATAAATTAACTCTTAAGTGGTAAGGTGGAAAAAACTCGAGTGATTGGGTAGAATATTTAATTATTAGTAATAATTTTTTTTTAAATAATGTATTTTAAGACGTGAATTACTCGTAAAATTTTGGGTTGTCGTATTTCATCCTTGCAATAACTGGGTATGATGATTAATAGAAAAAGTTAGTGATATTATGTCTGAGTATTGTAAAAAAGTAATTAACCAAAAAGTGAATTTTTCACTTTGATAAATTTTATTTATAGTATTTTTTTTAATTTGGCATTTTTTGAAAGTAACTTTTTATTCTTTTTAATTCTTGTATATAATAACTTTTAGAGCTTATTCTGAACACTTGATTAAAATATATAATATAAATGAACAGTTAAATAAATAAGTATTATGTAAATAATTAGAATTATCACTATTATCATTCGGTTCCGCATTCTTATTTAAGACCAGTCCGTTATCTTTCTTCAGGGCAAGTTGTCGCTGTCGTTTTCTTTCTAGTAATAGTTCAGGAGAATAACATTCTGGCTCTTTTGTATCAAGACAATCGAATTCGAAAAAAGCTGTAAAAACTCGAACCCAAAACATGTACCACCACACCTTTTTGGAATTCGGCTTAGGGGAGTCATCTATATTTAATGGTTTTTTTTAAAATCAAAATATATAATTTTAAAGTTACTAATTAATTATAAAGGGCGTTTTATATGTCCCGCGGTAATCAGGCTTAATTCAAGCAGTGATAGAAATAAGTGATATGAATGAGGTAACCACCCATTAAAAAAATATATTAATTATTCGGCCAGTTAATTAAAAAATTTTATGATTTTTTTTCCATTCCATAAATATTTTCAATAAAATTTTAGAGAAAATCTCAAATTTAAAAATCGAAGTTATAAAGGTCAACCATATTATAAACCATTAAATATTTTTATGGCTTATTTAAAGAAATAACACATCGCTGGCCTTGGCCTTTAAAAAAATTAATACGAGTTGCTCGATCATTTTTAGGGTTTGTCAGATATATCCCGGTTTTTTATTTCAACCAGATTTTAAAAAATTTCGACAATATAGTCGTTGTTTATCAAGTTGTATTTTCAATATGGTTAATTTCAGATGTGTGGGTTTTGCATTCGCTTAAAATAATACTGACTGAATTAAACAATTATAAAAATGCTTGTCAATAAAAATATTTTTTAAATCGATAATATATACTAAAGTTAGAATTGTTAAAGTATCTTAAAATAAGTGTTTCCTAAAATTTTAATGTTATATTGCAATTTTTCTTAGGAGATAAGGGAAATTCTTATAAAAAGATAATCTTATACAGTTCTAGCTCTATAAAATAATCGATCCCCAGAATGTGATCATCACCTCCTCACCTTGATTGCCATTTTTATAAAAGTTGACGTTAGAAATTTTATAATTTAGCTTAAGTATAAATTTCAGGAATTTTTTTTTAATTTTAACATATAATGGTGTATAGCAGAAGTATACCGTAGGGTTAGGGTTAAATTGAATTAAAAATAAATCTTTTATTTATGCCTTATAATTTTATAGAATAATAATTTATCATTTTGGTCAAACATAGTTCTTGGCTATAAACAGGTTAGAATTTTTTAATTTAGGTTTGTTATAAATTACTTATCCAAAAATGTTGAGACAATAACCAGCGGCAAACAATGATCCGGAATCGAGATAAAAAAGCGTAAGTTATTGCAGCAATAATTGTTGAGATTATGAGAATTAATTGAGTATCTGTGATACCTTTTGATGAATAAAAAAAAGAAAAATTTCATTTCTAAAAAAATTACTAATTTTACATCGTTATTTCCCTATTTAAAACTGTTCTGACGAAGAGAAATCATGATAATCTATATTTACAAAAAAAATAATCTTAAGAAATTGTGTTGATGTTATATAACATCTAAATTCCGGAGCACAGCGACAAGTGTAACCATGTGATGATAATAATAATATAGTGTTTTTCTCAAATTTACCCCCTTACCAAATCCAAATTAGCAAAAAGATGGAAATCCAAATCAAAACTACCACCCCTCCCCCCACCACCCGCCAAAATTTTTTTTTATTCTTGAGGATATCAACCTACCCCAAATTTTGATCTCATATTATAACCCCACCCCACCCACCATAGTACAGCCAGGATATAAAACGATACATTACATATAAATGTCATAAAATGTTCGGCTTCGAAGAATCAAAACTATATGCACATGTTTAAAAAAAAGTAGGTTACTTGTGTCTTCAACTAAGAATATTTTATTTAAAAGAACACATTTAAATTTTTATCTTAAATAATGATTAGATTATCTCTACTCATATGTACTAAGTAAAATATTTATTTAGTTTTTTGTAAATTAAAACATGAAAAAATACAATATAAATTTAATAATATTAATAAGTATACTTTCGAAAGCATGTTGAGCGTAAAACCTCAAGTAGGTTGGAATAAGAAAATTTACATCTGTCGTCATATAATAATTATTGTGTGATAGGTCTGTGAGACTCTTAAAATTGAGCGATGAGCTATTATAAAGCCATATAAAGGATAAAATCCAAGCCAAGAAGGATAAGATTATCGCTAAAGGCCAACTTTGACCCAATACAAGCAGAAATAATTTCATTTTATTACTTAAGAATTCTACTATTAGTTATTTTTCTGAATTTTAATTGGGAACCCTGTTACTGCGAGATAAAGTTATTGAGAGCTATTTTTATAGGAAATTGTATATCCGAAATGCATTCCAATAATTGATTTTATTAATTTTCTGCGTCAATTCTAAAATAATTATTCGTTAAAATTAAAAATAGTTATACGTAAAAAGTGAATCAATAAATAACAAAATTAATTTTTTTCTTTAGAATTGTTTATTGAGTAGTAAAGTAATAATTTTAATATTTCCAAATTATAAATTTTTATTTATGCTTAAATTTAGGTAGCGCGCTATTATAAATAAGAAAATTAATTTCATAATAAAGTTTAAACTTGTAATTTTTATACTAATTAAATTTAAATTGTGAAACTAAATAATATATTTTGAAATATAAACTTATATCGTTTATAAATAAAATATTTTAGCTTTTTCAAGTTTATTGGGAAATTTTTTTACTAATTGAAAAATAAAAAACAAAAGACACCAATATCAACAGTTGATAATCTCTCACGTAGAACTATTGATTTGAATTTTACTCTAGTAGCATAACAAATTTACAAAAGAAATCGGCATTGGAAATAAATAAGCTTCAGAAATTCGCTTAAATAATATAAATTCTAAAAAAAATCTAACGCGCTCGCCAATGGTTTTTAAAAAAAAACTCTGACCCATTTATTTAAAAATTTTGAATCTGCCAGCCCAATGTTCTAAAATTATTAGCTAAACAATAATGCCTTACTAAACTTTCTATTTTCTAGAACCCTGTATGGACCGATCCGAATTTAATTTTTTAAAAATAACACAAATTTTTTTATTATCTTTTTTTAAACATTTCCATTTCCCGATTTCGTTAAAATATACTACTTTTTCAACAGTCTAATATAAAAATCTCCGGATCAGATCGGACCTTAAAAAATTAATTACGGTGGAGAGATCTACTACTTTATGTACATATTATGGTTTACCCAAATTCATAAACCAGATATTCCGTTGCTATTAAAAAAAAAATTTTTTTTTCATCAATACATGTGAAAAAAGCGAAAATATTAAAATATCACATGAACTTAAAATAAATTTATACCTTCGAAATTTGTATTATAAATCCAAGCTCGATACTGGTCTGAAATATTTAAAAATTCTAAAACATTCATGGATAAGATTTATGAAATGCGAATATATTGGAAGATGATTTTCTTATTAATATTACTATCAAGAATATAATGTTCTATATCCGTTTGATCAGAATATAAAAATTAAATCATGTGATTCACTTTAATTTTGAAATTCTAATATAGTTGTTCCATCTCGATTTTAAAAAGCATAAAATTTTTTATAAGAGTAACAGTTAAATCTACGGGAAAAAAATATGTTTTCCCCTATTAAAAGTATAAGCAATTTTTTTAAAAAATGCTCTCCTGTGATGTTGGAAAAAAATGGATAGGAAACACTAAACTACAATCCTCAGCTTAGTTTTAATTTTATAAACTAGAAGAGCGTTTTGACTGTATAAAGTGAGATTTCTTAATAATACTTTAAACCTTTAAAAACAAATTAGTATTAATTTATATAATTTTCTCATTTATTCAAGCCAGTAGGCATTGGTATATATTATCATTTATACATAACAAAAGAACTCAAAAAAATGTCTGTAAAGATTAATTTTCAATAATAAAATTTTATAAATATAGTTCTGTTCAGAATAAAAAAAATTTATAATACTTTTATATAAAATTTAACACCCATTTTTAATACTCTTTCAAGGTTATTTTTAGTAAGAGATAAAAAAAAATATATTTGTGAAAATAAATAATCATTTTAAAAAATCAATAGTGATAATATTTTTTCTGAAAAATAAGGAATGTGTTTTTGACGACAATCCACCAATAAGTAGATGCAGATTCTCGATTTTATAAGATATCCTAATGAAAATTTTCAATACCTTATTTATTTAATATTGGTAAATATTTTATATTTTTTTAATTGTAATTTATTATAAAATAGTAATTACATATTCTTTTTAAAAAAATAATGTTTTTTTATAACTTTCAAAAGATTTAAAATTTTAATGAAATCGTATGTTAAATTTTTGAAATTTTCTAGAAATATATTTTGGATATATTTTTATTTTAAAAATTCTTCTTTTTAGATAGTTTCAAATCTGCGAATAGAATTTATTGACATTTTAGATAGCGCCTTAAAAAAAATTGATATTTAAAATTGATTTTATTAAATATTTTAATGAATTAGTTAATTTTCCAGAAAGTAAGTTGTATCGTATGGAGAGTAGGAAATATAAATGTTATGCGTTTATTTTCGATATAAACAAATGACAGATATACAAAAAAAAATGGTACACAGTCACATTTTTCTCACTCCAAAGTGGATTAGATTTATTTAATACAAGTTTAATAGTCAATTATAGGGCTAGAACCAAAAACAAATTTAAATTTTTATTCAAAAACAAAACATATAAATAAAGGTTGTTTCGAAAAAAATTATTATTGCTAAAAATTAATGTTAAAATGTCATTTTAAATTTGTTTTGAAAAAAAAAAAAATTGCTAAAGAAAGATTATTTTAATTTATAAACATATTGAAACTAAAAATGTGAAAGCAAAAAAAATATTGTTAATGAATATTTTTTAAAAAATTTCTATGGGGCTGCGCCGATATTAAATATCGGATCGGATCGGCGCCGATATTTAGCGTTTTCCAAAAATATCAGATCGGGCCGATACCTGTAAAAAAACCGATCCGATCTTTCCTATTCTTTTTGTTATTTTATGTTTTGTATATTTATTTTACATTATTATAATATTTTCTAAATATTTTTTTAAATAATGCAAATGCACAAAACCCCCTAAATTTTATTTATTTTTAAAATAGATTTAAGTATTTTAAAAGATTTTTTATAAAAATAGAAAGGAACACCCAAAGTTTTATTTATTTTAAATCTTCTTAAAGAATAAAGCCAATTTTATTATTTATACTTTATATAAAAGAATTTTTTTGAATATGGTATCTGAATTATGGAAATATTTTACAAAAGGCAAAGATAATTTTGCAAATTGTGTTATATGCGGAATTTTAATTTCACGAGGAGGAATAATGAAAGATTCATAATCGATTTTTTGCATAAAAAATATTGATATCTTAATTACATTTGGTTTAAAGGGGGGTGGTTAAAAATCAGTATAATATCGGATCGGTTTTGAACCAATATCGGAAAATATGAGATCGGATCTGTGAAAAATATGTGGATGGCACAGCCCTAATTTTCTAAAGTAGTTTAGCATCGTTTAAAGATTAATAGCTTAGGGGGGGGGGGGGGGGCGATGCCGATTATCGTCTAGAAATTCACCATCTTTTGTTTTGTCTAATCTATAAAAAATTTTTGTCCTAAGAAAAAAAGTATAAATTAGTCTTAGCATCTGTATTATTTTGATTTTTTTAAAAGAATTGATCCTTTTTTATTTATATCATACAATAAATAATACAATATTTATTACTATTTTGGTTTTATCTGAGCATAAGAAATAATTATGAGCATTCAGCATTTTTTTCTATTTTCAAATATCAACTTAAGGAATTTTTATTCTTTAGCATCTTAATTTAAAATATGTGTATTATTTTATATGACAAAAAGCTGATAAAAATTTTGTAAACATTTTTTAAAAAATATTTAAACATATTGCTTGCATTTAAATAACATCCATCTCTTTGGCTTCTATATATTTTTTTAATTACGATAAAAGGCTTAAGTTTGTTTCTTTTTGCATTCAATTTAAAAATGACATATATTTCCCTGTAATTAGTCAAGTTATTTCAACCATTATTAAAAGTCATAATCGAGTAACCCAAGCAAAAATTACACTGAGTCTTATTTTCGCCAACTAAATTTAGTCTCAACACTATTAAAAATGGTAATCATTGTGTAGGATAGGACTAAAAAATTAAACGAATATAATCGATTTTTTCTAAATGTTTTAATTAGATTAAATGATAATAAGAGAATCAGTGATAGTTTGTTAAATAATTCAATGATATAGCCAGCTTTTGTTAATTATTTTGAGCAAAAAACATATTAAATAATTGAATGAAGGTATTTTTAGGTGGGAAAAGTCCTAAATTTGTTAGCTTCTCTATAACACATACTGTCATGATGAGACCTCAATCTTTATTCTGTTCAATAATTTGTATTGAATCACACCAGATTTTAAATTTATGACTAGAAACTATTTAAAATATTTATTAAATCAAGGAAATTCACTATGTCAGGGTTTTAATATATTTATAAATTCATTTTAAAATATATATATAAGTTCAAATTTGATATATTAATTAATAATAAATATAAATTAATTTGGATTTATAAGGAGTAATTTAAAAAATTATCTGATATTTTAGACTTACTCCCATCACATAAAGCTACAATATGCCCCTATAAGTTATTATTATATCTAATTATTAGTTTTAAATGCTTTTACCTAAAAATAAATTAAAATTCTCAATTTGTTTTTAAAAAATTATTAACTTACTTTGTCATTTAAAAAGATTATTTACAATTGCTTATTTTATTCATTTGGAGGTGGTGTGTGTGTGTGTGTGGGGGGGGGGGGGGGGGGAAGGGGGGTTTAGTCAATTTTACTTAACATTTGTTCAAAATTCAAAAATACTTGAGCATGCTCAAAGAAGATTTTTGAACAAGATAAAAATTGTTTTTTGTAAAATAAATTTCTATGATTTTGAGCATCTTTTGGAATTTTAATAATATAATAAAATCTATTGTGATGAATTGATTTATTTCTTATTTCAATGCAAAATACCAATAATTTAACCCAGGTCTCTCCTATAATAGAAAACATCTGGCAAAATAATAATTTTTTTTTAATATAAATAAATAAAGAACATTAAATTAAAATAAAGGGAGATGCAAAGGGAAAAGATTTCATCACAAAAAATTATAATATAAAAATCGCAAAGGACTTCAAAATCATAGAAGATTTTTTTACAAAAACATTTATTATTTTGCTCAAATTTTTTTTATGAAATCTTCAAATGTTTAAAGATTTTTGTCAAAGCCTGATTCTATAGTTCACCTAATTTTATCCCATTAATAATAATACTTTAGTTAAAAATAATGATTTCATATATTTATACAATTTTAAGTTATAAATAAATATTACTTAAAACATAAAGCCCTGTAAGACTGGACAAGAACCCTGAGAAGGTCATGAAATGGTATAAAATTTTAAAAAAGATTACAAGCACAAGCTGGTTCTCAGCAATTTTTTAAAATAATTTTAAAAAATATCAATATATGACTCATTTAGCCTTCATTTTCTGTTAATCTAAATTTCCACTTGAAATAATATATATCAAAAATCTTTTTCTTTTAATTGGGGCTGGATTAGGCCTAAAAATGGAAAAAATTTCAAAAACATAATAGGTTGGGATACATTATAATATTTGATCATTGATATTAACATAAACAGATAATATAGTTATTGTATGTATAAAATTATGCATTAGTTAAATGAAGACCAATAACATTATTATTAAATGAAATTTTGAATCAATGTAACATACCTAAAAAGTAAGTAAAATAAATAAGTAATGTATAATTCAAAAAATTTATCATAATTTAATGTGTATTACAATATATATATATATTAATATTATATACAAAATTTTAGATAAACCTGTAAACGCATTCCTGCAAAAATTTATTACTCTTTTCATTTTCTCCAGGTGTAACTAAACTGAGAATTGACAGGTAAACTGAGAATTGACAGGTAAAATTTATTTTTATTATAGCCTATCAATTTTATTTTAAATTAAATATTTTTAAAATCCCAAAAATCTAAAAAATTGACTAAACTGAGATTTGACATCAAAACTCCAAAAATAATGACGGAAACTTAAATATAAAAAATAAAAAACTTTTAAAATCCCAAAAATCTAAAATACTGACTAAACTGAGAATTGTAATCATAACTCCAAAAATAATGACGGAAACTTAAAATTTTTTCCATTTTATGATTATAACAGTTTGTACCAGATAAATTAATCCAAAGTAAAGAATTATCCTCCTATAATTCATATTATTTATAATTAATAACTAAATTTTTAATCTATTACGCCATCTACCGGAAATATATATATGATATGTAAAATTTATTATGGGTGTTATATTTTCTATGTAATATAACTGTTCTATATATATATATTATAAATTTATGGACTACTCTTTCTTCCATATTCTATTTTATTTATTTAGATTTTATTTTGTTATAAATTTCGATGTAATGTCAAGAATATGTCAATAAATTATTATTCGGATGAAGATGAAATAAAGATTCTTTTGTTCATTATCATTAAGTTACAAAATATATAATATTATAATAGCCTCTCTTTGTCACCGTTTATAATAATTATAAATTAAATTTACATAAATATTTTATTTATATTTTTAAAATATAATTGATAGGCCATAAATTAATTTTACCTGTCAATTCTCAGTTTACCTGTCCATTCGCAGTTTACCTGTCAATTCTCAGTTTAGTTACATCCTTTACTCCAATTTTTAAAAGTGGATAGATGTATTATATATGTAAAAATAAAATTTGTGTAATACTTTGCAAGCCTACCTAAACTAGGTTCGTCCAATCATGTTAAGAACAATCAGTATATTTGATTTTTTATTATATGTGTCTTTTTCATATGAAGGAAAATTGGAAGTAACAAGCCTAGATTTACCCGACCCTTTCCTCCCAATTTTTTTTATTATCTGCTAGAAGGTTTTATACCCCCCTTAGACAATGGTTAATTTAGCCTCCCTTAAAAATTTTACCCCCCCCCCTTCCACCTTCTAAAAAAAATTCCTATACCCTTCTAAATTCTATATCCAGTCCATAACAGATCAAAATCAGAAAAAAAGAGAAGCAAAATCAAAATTGGTATTTAAAAAAAATCATACTCACCTCCACTTTTAATCAAATGGCGGTAGCCTCGTCATAATTCCTCTAATTCTAATGGCTATCTTGTGTTAAACAACTACCCCCCCCCCCCAATAGATGTAACTGCTATCTACCCCCGACTTACCACTAACATTTATATTTTGAGAAATCATTTATCTTATAACGCTCTTATATTTGTTATACATAGAAACCATTTATCTTAATATCATTCTTGTTTTTTTAGTTTGTAAAATATGCCATATCATCAAATTGAGATTAAATTTGATTTTGCTTACTGTGTGTCCAGCTTATCCAACTATTTTGTATCAGTTGGATTGGCTGAACAAATTATAGAGATAAAAATATCCCCTCTTTTATTGAGAATTTTTGATTGGTTGAATAACATAAATAAAAATATAGAAGATGTTTATGCCGCAGTTGTTCAATAAAAACTGCGAAGAGTAATATTTTTATAATGAATGTCAATCAATATATTTTTTTGTTATTTTAATTTATTTTTTTTATAAAATAATATATTATTCTTGGATTTGAATTGAAAAATAAAAATATTATCTGGAAAAAGATTTTGTGTTTGAAAAGTTATCGGTGTTTTTTGGGGGGTTTGTGTAAGTGTTGCAAGTGATCTGAGATGTAGAATCTGGTAGATACGAATTTACCTAAATAAACAGGTAAAAAAAATATTTTACATACATATTAATTTAGTTTTTTTAATTAAAAATGATGGTAAAATAAACGCCATGTACTGGTTGTAGCCTGTATTTTATTTTTAGAATAAGGATTTTTGGTTGATTATTACTATTTTTAAGGTAATTATAAAGTTAGTAAACAATTTTATACCCCATTTAAAAAGAAAAAATGGAACATTTTTTAATTGTTACTTTTTAATCTAAAAAGGAATAATTTGGTGGAAATTTGGAAGTGCTAATGTTTTTTTAACGGTTATTGAGGTAACATAAAGGAATTAAGAATGTTGCGATATATATTTATTATTAAATTAATTTAAAATACAATTATTATTTTTGTAATATAAATTTAAACCTTATTTTAAGTTGAGGTTATAGGTAAGTCAATTTTAGTATCTTTAAAAATAAAATAAAGAAATTTAAATTTAAAGGGCGAGTTGGATTCGTGGAATATATATCAATTTGGTAACTTAGAAGGTTGAGAGAAAGGGTTTTTATGTTAATTTGGAGAACATAATAGGCGAGTTGGATTCGTGGAATATATATCAATTTGGTAATTAGAAGGTTGAGAGAAAGAGTTTTTATGTTAATTTGGAGAACATTTTTGATTTATAAAGAGTTTTTGGTCATAAAGTGTGGGATAGAATTGATTATGTATTTACGATATTATTTGGAGTAATATATGTGTTATATATTATTATCATAAATGATACATTTTTATAGTAACTGACAATCATTTGATATGATATATTTTTGTTTATCTATTTTTTTTATATAGTTAACATGTCAGTTATTTTAAAAATTAGGGATTTTTTTTTAATCATTGATTTTTTTTTATTATGAAATTATGATTAACTTTTTTTTATGGGCCATGAAATTATGATTAATTTTTATAAAATGACTTATCAATATTTTTACAATAAAGAATTTAATTATTGATTTAGTATTTGAATAAATTTTTTTAGAACATTTCCTAAATCTTTTATTTAGCTCTCTAGTTTGGCATTTTCTTTCTTTTCTGTGTTTTTTTCTTTTATTTTTAAATTTCGTTACATTATTGTTGACAGTTGTTGACCGCGACTACAGGATAGTTTTGATTCCACGGTTATTCGGTATTTTAAGGTAAAAAATATTTTATTTTATATTTTGTATCCAGGACACAACGCAGAAAATTTATTTTTAGATTAGTTCGATTAACACGCAATATTTAGTAACATTTCGTAATATGCGATGGTGGTGTATTTCGATAAGTATTCTGAGCCTACTTTTATTAATAAAGTTGCCATCCTTAAGGATATGGGTTATAAAATCTTGTATAAGAGCATTAATGAATTGGATATAGGACATCATTTAATTACATTGGGATTAATAGTAATTATATATTTAATTTATATTATTTTGAAATTTTTATTTGGAAAATGTACTCTGGTTGCGACCAGAGTATATGGTAATTGGAAAATAGACACTCCGGTGTCGGCAGATTGTTGGAAAAAGATTTCGGACTTGGAAAGTAGTTTAAATGGAATTTTAAATGAAATCAAGAACGGCAGACCTGAAAAGGTTGAAACGATGAAAGATAATAACGATGATCGTTCGGAATTTGTGGAGAGGTCAGTAGTTAGCCTCCAGGAATTAAAAGATATAAAAGAATCTATTAAAGATATTTATAGTGAGGTATCTAAATTGATTAATATGATGAGTAATCAAGGGGACAAGAAACAACTCGGTGATAGAATTATTTCGAATGGAAAGAGTTTTCCAAAGATTGTTGCTGACATAATTTGTAATCGGTGCAAATACAAGGGTCATTATTCTAAAACCTGTATTGTAAAGGAACAGAATTTTAGATTGGGTTTTCCATTGCAAAGGTCTAGTGGAGAAAATTCCAACGTAAGGAAGATTTCAGGCCTAGATGTAAATAAAGTTGATTCGTTGCAATCGAATTATGGCAGATCCCGTTTGTGTTTTAAATGTAACAAACCGGGACATGTAGCCATAAACTGTATCAAAAATTGACTATATGATTGCAAGTGTAATCATATACTAAATAAGAGATCGGGAGGGAGAAATAATAATAAAGTAAATAACCATGCTGAAATGAGATATGATTCTCGTAAAAGCAGTGGTTTTAACCAAAAATTTTTTTATCCTGATGATAAAAATAATACAGATTCTAATGATTTTAAATGGGAGAAATATCCTAGAGGTATTGTTAAATATTCCGATGAAGGGAATGTTAATACTTTCAGATGGGAAAAATATCCCAGTTATATTGCAAAAAAATATATGAATATTGTTAATGGACCACTAAATTCCGAGTTGAATTTATGTTCAAATGGGAATTCTCATGAAACTGATGTTTCAAACGAAATTAATCTTGATCCGTCAATTGAAACATATGATATTTTAATGACTGAGAGATTATCCGAACCTTGTCCTTGTCCAAGAGTTACTGTTGATTTGAGGGACATCGACATGTTGTTCGACACAGGGGCTAGCATTTCCATAATGTCTAGAAGAAATTATTATAAGTATTGGCCTGGGGGTAAACTCGAAAAAGAATCTATGTGTGTCAGACAATTTGATGGGTCTGAGATAATAGTTGTGGGAAAAACTAAGTTGGGAGTAATTCTCCATGATACCACATTTTTCCTAGATTTATGGGTAGTAAAAAAAGATGTGGAAACTATCATGGGGTGGGATTGGATTGTTCAGTTAGGTCCTTTCAATAATTATTGGAATATTTTTGTCATACATAATGGTTCGGCCCTAATTGAGACTAAAAACAAAAATATTGCTAATAATGCTAGAAAAAATATTCGTGAAATAGAAGGGACGGATTTAACCGTAAAACAAGATGATTCAACCCGTAATTCTGATAGGTATGTAAAGTCCACGGAATTAATGGTTGAAAACAATATTAGCATTGATGAAACCCCAATGGTTGCTATTGGTATTCATGAATTACATAAAATGCGTGAAAAAATATCTCGTTTAATGAAGAAATATGAAATAATTTTCGAAGACAAATTAGGTTGTCTTAATGATTATCAAGTAGATATAAAATTAAAGGAGGGATTTTCACCTATTTTTCT